CAATACCAAACATACATATATGTACAGTCAAAAGTCGTTAATTCGGACACCCATAATCCGGAATGATCTATAATCCGGACCTCAAAGCTACAAACTTTCTGCGCATGCGTCGCGTTGACGCATGTGCGTAAGACTTTACGGCTGCGGATAGGCGTGTGCGCAAATTACGTTTACGAATGCGCATTTAATGTATAATGGACGGTATAAGCTAAAAATTATCTAATTCAGTTAATGTTGCAGATTGCGCTGTTCCTTAATCTTCTAATTGGATCCTGCTTATTATTTTTTGCAGACTGTTAGAGCAATTTTATAAAAGTAAGCTTGAATTTTCGATTATGTCAAAAAGAATTTCCGATTCTGGAGCTATCAAAGGATCTACAAAGCGAAAGCATGTTCCGATGTCCATCAAACAAAAAGTGGAATTGCTGCAAAAAATGGATAAAGGCATATCCTTTGTTTATCTAAACTTTAACGTTTGTTTATCTAAACTTTGTTTATCTTTAACACCGTGGCGCGCAATGAATTGGAAGTTGATCTGTCAGCACTATCCTTATCTTCAGAGCAGATGTTTTTATTTTATTTGGCTTATAATTCCTTACTAAATGTATTATTTCATCTCGATGTACTCCGTCTTTGTTGTGATTTAAATCAAATTCCTCGTCATTATAATTCGCTTCCGATCAAGAAGAAAGTGATACAGAGGTTATTGAAAACGAAAAAATTTCGATTGACAAATTAGTCGGTATTCTCGACACAGCAATTATAGGACTTTAACAGCGGAATTTTGTAAATGAACAAGAAATTATGTCTGTTTATAGAATTAAAGAGAATGTATTATCACATAAAAAACGAAACAACTTACATTGAAAGAAATGTTTAATAAAGTAAACAAATAAATATTAAGCTTTTTTTTTTTTTTTTTGTTTAAATTTTGATACCTTTAGATCATAATTGTTCTTTATTTCATAAATTACGGTTTCATATTTTTAATTTTATAATTTCTGCATGCCATCTTACCAGATTTCAACTGATGATCTATAATTCGGAATCGCTGAAGTCCCGACGAGTCCGGATTAACGACTTTTGACTGTATATGAACTTCATTTCCCAGCCTTTATTTTTAGAGTCATGGGTCGTAAAGTGTTTTAAATGACAAAAATATTCATGTTTTGATTATGCCAAATTTTAAAAACGAATTTAAAATTAGTCAAATAACAAAATCTAACTTTTACTGCAGTTTCCTGGTTTTTATACTTATATTTAGGAAAGTTTTATACTCATTATAAAAAAGTTATAAAGTGTAAGAAGTTTGACTTCCATGTGACAAAAGTTGACCAAGATATTTAATTTTAAAATTTGCAATTTTTGATATAATTTCAACTTACCTTGAGGGATTGGTTAATTAAGTTAGAATACTCTGAGGAAGTAAGTTTAAATGAAGTGAAGCAAAAAATGTGTATAATTTAAAAGGCCATACAAGGAAGTTGTGGTACCCACATCAGATTTTTAGTGTTTGTTTTCAGCCTAATTTTAAGTTTCATATTTGGTTGTCATGTTCTGTTTTTTACCTCCCGCCGGTCTATAGAAATAGGGATACTGTTTTCGGTCCAAGAATTTGATAGTGAGTTTTCAGTAAATAAGCACAAGTTAAGGTGTCCACAACAAAATTTTACTATTTTTACAGTAATGTCAATCTGTTTGTAAATATGTGTGAGATGATTTTTTCATCCACATTAACTTGCATGAAACTCGAAAAAATTTCTATTTCCTGTATTTAAGCTTTATATATTTATATAAAGAGTTGATTAGATTTTGGTTAAAACTAGACAACTGGAAATGGTATTTAAGGAAACCCATAACAGTCCTTAATGAACAACTTGAAGTGATAATTTATTTGTAAGTAATGGAAAAGTTATATTAAAATATAGTCCAAAACTTTTATAACAGACTTTCATAAAAATGTATTATGAGATAATCTAAAGCTTTTCAAATTTAGTATTTAAAGTAATTATGTGATTTAAAGCAACATATTACATTTATAAGCATTAAGTACATTCTCAAAATTATGTAATAAACATAAACACATCATGAAGGCAAGCTTTCGTTATGAAGCAATTAAATACATTAGCCTTAATCCTCGATTTTGTATTCATTTCACCTTTGTGTCGAATCACTCAAATAAAAGGTGCTGTCACCAAACAATATGGCTATATATTATGTATTATGTTTAAAGAAATAATATAGCTAATCTAAATAACATAGTGGCTATGAAAAGAAATATATGGTAACACTTAACACTATTGAGAATTCTAAAGATAGCTGCTTTTAAAGATTTTGTGATTGTTAAGTCATTGATTTGCGAATTCATAAGACTACATGACCAGGAGATATACTATGACTGATGCAGTATTTTCAAATCAAAGCAGGTAAATGGATGTATACATGAGAACATATAGTTATCATTGTCCATTGCATTGGAGAATAGAATAATAAAATTGAGTAATGCTTATTATTAACACTGAGCTGTAAAGGGTTTAAACAAATTAGATTTTATCAACAAGCAAGCAACTGAATGTGATAGTTTATTTAAAACATATTACTATACAGTACAAGTCTGTAATCCGAACTCATCGGGACTTCGGCGATTCCGGATTAGAGGTTTTTCTGGATTATACATCATCAATTTAAATCTGGTTAGATGGCATGCAGAAGTTATACAATTAAAAATATGAAACCGTAATTTATGAAAGAGCAATTATGATCTAAAGGGTATCAAAATATACAAAAAAAAAAAAAGCTTAATATTTATTTGTTTACTTTATTAAACATTTCTTTCAATGTAAGTTGTTTAAGTTGCTTCGTTTTATGTGATAATACTTTCTCTTTAATTCTATAAACAGGCATAATTTCTTGTTCAGTTACTGTTCAGAAAGTTCAGAAAGTTCCACTGTTCAAGTCCTGTAATTGCTGTGTCGAGAATACTGACTAACTTGCGAGTCGAAATTTTTTCATTTTCAGTAACCTCTCTGTCACTTTCTTCACTATTAGAAGTGGCATGGCAGCTCCAGAATTGGAAACTCTTTTTGACATAATCGAAAGTTCTAGCTTAATTTTTATAAAATTGCTCTAACAATCTTCAAAAAATAATAAACCAGTTCCAGTTTTATGATTAAGGAACAGCGCAATCTGCAACATTAACTGAAATGCTTCAGAATCAGTAAAGATAATTTTAGTCTAACTTATACCATCCGTTATACATTAAAATGCGCAGGCGTAAATGCATTATGCGCATGCGTAAAGAATACAAAAAAAAAAAAAAGTTTGTGAGTTTGATGTCTGGACGATAGATCATTCCAGATAATGGACGTCCGGATTATGGACTTTGTACTGTACCACCAATTCCATTGGCAGGAGGTGATGTACTGGCCACAACAGATTTTCGTATTCTAAATTGATAAGATAATGTATTATTGTTATTATTTCCCAGTAAAAATGAATTCACATATACTGCTCTGTATCTTTTCTGTGTTAATAAAATTTATTCTCATATTTTACTAGCCTGTCATAGGACCATAGTACTACAGTGGTGGCCGAAATTGTGGACACTTCTGGAAATTTTTATGTTTTTGAACTTTGTACGCTTATAGAAAATGTTATGTTTCGCAAAATGCAAACTTGTATATATCATTTTAAAGAAAATTTATTACTGAATTCAATACAAAACACAAAATTCAATTATTTGTAATACAAAAAAAGTTTTATGTACTTTAATATAAATAAAAAAACACAGTTATGAAGTGGTTTGTAATGTTTTTCCTGGCCAATCACTGTTCTTGTTCTGAGAACCAATCAAATGTTAGTAACTGCCAGTAGAAGCTGACATCATGTTTACACTTGAAACAATTCATTATTTTGCTTTGTTCTGTGGAAAAAGGACCTGTTTCTTATACACTGCAATTACGAGTAGGAATTTTTGTAAAAATTTTTAATATTTAGTCAAGAAGCAATGACATCAAATAAAAGAGTAGATTGGGATCCTGACTGCATTCAAGCAACTGTGAAGAACTCAGTTAGTGTTATGATTTGGTCATGCATGTCAGCAGATGGTATTTTTCGCCTTCATGTCATCGATGGGACACTGAATGCCAGAAAATACATTGACGCTATTCTAGAACCAAAACTTCTACCTTCCATCATAGATCTCTTTCCCAACAATGCTTCATTTATTTTTCAGCAGGATTCTGCTCCTTGCCACACGGCCAATATCGAAAGAGTGGTTTCGTACAAGGAGCATTAAATTGTTGTCATGGCCAGGAAACAGTCCTGACCTCAATCCTACCGAAAATTTGTCGCACCGTTTGAAAACTCTTGTCCGAATGAGGCGCCCATCAAATAAAAGGGAACTATTTGAGGCTATAATTGTTTCCTGGCATCATGTAATAACGAAAGAAGAGCTTAAAACTCTTGTCAGCTGAATGAAAAGTCGATGTGAAGCTGTAATCAAAAATAAAGGGTACCCTACTAAGTACTGATAACTCCCTGCAATCATCACTATCTAATGTATCTCGATAACTATTATCGTTTAACTTTTTTTGTATTGCAAATAATTGAATTTTGTGTTTTATACTGAATTCAGTAATAAATTCAGTAATAATTCCAATTAAAATGATATATACAAGTTTGCATTTTGTGAAACGTAATGTTTTCTATAAGCATATAAAGTTCAAAAACATAAAAATTTCCAAAAGTGTCCACAATTTTGGCCACCACTGTAAAGTGTTGCTGTAATTTGTGTTGATGTTAAGTATTAGCATTAAGTGTTGCCATGCTTTGTGACCTTTATGCTAGTCCTTAATGTGTCTACAAAATTTTTTACTGATTTTTTTAAATCAATGCAGACATTTAAAATTATTAATAGCAAGGACATATACATTAAATCCATAATTTTTAGAATCTGTTTCTTTATTATTATCATTCTCCCTATAATGTCTCTTATTCAGTTGAAAACTGAGGTCACCAGTCTCACAGATGAAGTGTCAAATCTTCAGATTGAAGTTACAGCTGGTCGTGAAGTTATTACTCTTCTGCAGCAGCAGCTGGATATTACATCAAAAGAAAAAGAGACTTTGTAAGTTAAAACCTTTAAAAACATAAATTCTTTGAGTGCTGGGCAAAGAGAATCTTACAAATAATTGGAAAAAAATGCTGGAATTCTAAAAATTTGTCATACCATAATTGTTGCATGTTTAGTAGATCCTTATGTATTTGGACTAACTGAGATAGTAATCTGTGTGAAAGCACATTGTACCATAACCTCATTGAAAATTACCAAAAAACGAAACTACTTGAATTGTCTCTTTTCTTCTAAGCTTAAATACGTAATTCTCTTAATCCAAGTAAGATATTTTTATCATTATTCTATTTCATTAACAGCAAACATTTTTATTTTGATAAAGCAAAATGAAAAACAATCAATAATCAAGGTGTTTTCCTTATTTGCCTAGGTATATTAACCTAAAATAAAACAATAAAATTAGCTTTTATTTATACAGACCCTAAAACTAAATTCACGAGCTTCTTTCTCTCGCTTTTTAATTTAACTGTACCAAATTAAATAAAGCATTTAACTTTTATTTTTATGATATTAATTGTGTATTTATATTGTCTAAGTTTAAATTAATTAACTTCTTAAAACAATATGTACTGTAACATATTGTCCTTTTATGCACTTTCTTACTCCTTTTATACACTTTTGTATACAGTCTTAGCCCCTTCTGAGTACTTTTATGCACAGTATTTTTCCAGAAAGTTTGGAAACTGCTAAAATAACTATAAAATTGGAAACTGCTAAAATAACTATAAAAATATTGCACTCCCACTAAATATTTGTTTTGATATCTTCAAAGTAATCCTATCTGAGACTTAGTAGCATATAGGGAAAGTCATTTCAAGGGTGCTGCATTGCTCAATTATCTTGGTTAGATTTCTACAACTTCTCAGTGCCAACTCTCTTTCACTACTCCTTTGAACTGCAGAAAGGGGAATGTATCATGCAGAAGCATATTGGAAAAGTATGGAAGGTGTGAAAGATCTCCAGTTTTAAGTTTTGTCATAATTTCATGAACATGTAAAGTGGCTTGTGGATGTGCATTGTCTTGCAAGAGAAACCATTATTCTAAAGCTCATAGGTTCATAGGATGGTGTTCTCATCAACAATAGATTAGGCTTATGTCGTCTTTTTATTAAAATTGGCTTCTGGGAATACTGCAGTACGTTTAGATAAAGAATGTGATTTCTCACCCTAAGCTGCATACGTGCAACAAGTAGTGCTTTGGGTGTCAAAATTTTTTTTTTTTTTTTTTTATTCTGGTATATTAGAACCTAATCTAACATAGCTTACACAGTCCATGGTCAAATTCATAATATCATGTTTCATCCTTGGCACTGATGTGCCTCATAAAAGATGAATTACTGCTAATAATGTTCCAACAGCTGTGCAGCCTTTGATGCTCAGTGTTCTTTCTGCTCTGTTGTAAATAAATTTAGGAGTTCAGTTTCCTTTTCCCCAAATCATGTTATGTTGATAACACCTAACATGCATGCTGTGCTATAGCAGTCCATATGTAGACTGTTCTTTAAATGCTTCATGTTATCATCTGCATGGGTTTCTTGTAAAGCTTATCCTCTGCCTTACTAGCAACTTATTCTTATGCTTGGAGCAAAGCTTATCATGTGTCATTTCACTGCCACTCACAAAACTGTAATATCACTCGAGCATTTGTACTGTTGATGGGAAACTGCTCGTCATATTTCTGCTGGAAAAGGTTTAGTGTTTTTATACCCATCTTTCCTGACTTCACAAAGAATTTTGTATTCACTATTGTTTGATTCTCACATCCATGCTGTACCATTTTTACTTCATTTTTGTCTCCTATAGTTGATTACTGGTTACTTTGTTCCTCAAAGGTTTGTGCAAAGTATAAGAATCCTTGGTTTGCAACCATATTTGGATTTCTTTTGTTTTCACATGACCAAAGCACAATGCAAAGCAGCAATACTTCAAAAGTCTCAGGCACCTGTGGATCTTGATATGTCTGAGGCAGAATTGCATCCATTTCAACAGATATTATGATGTACACTAATATTCATTTACATAGGCAAATGTATATATATTTAAATGTCACATTTCAAATTAAAAATTATGTGCCAATTAAGATGATTTAAATAAAGTAATCAAAATTCTTTCAAAGTGAAACAAAGTAAATTAATAATGTTTCTAATTTAATTAATCATTATTGTATAATCTGAAATTTTATTTTGAAATTTTTTAAGAATTCACAGTCACACAGACATAATTCAGAAATGTAGCTCTGTTGAAAATTGTTCACCGGCGCTTTGAAAAAGACCAAGGAATTTTAAACAGTTATATATTTTATATAAATTTATTAGGTTGTATTAATTTTATTGTGTTGTTTTTGTTTTTATCATGATTTGAGCATTTTCTAAAGTTGCCCCCATTCATGATTTAATTATTATATCTTAACTAATTTTGGTGCATACTGCATGACTTTAATTATATACATCATCTTAATTTATATTTCTTGAGAATCAAATTAAAAGATACAAACTTTTTAAATTCAACCTGAAAAAATTTTAACAAAATTTTTAACAAAATTTTTTCAGTATTTAGAAGGAAGATTTTTTCACTCTAGATTGCAGTACAGTAATTAAATACATATATTATTGGCCAGTTAAAATTCATTGAGGATTTCCAGATCATAAAGTTAGTCAGAGGTCCTTTTCCATTTCTGGTGTTTTAATCTTAAGAATATATGGTTAATACTGGATAAACTAAGCTGTATCCAGATTTCAATTTGGTGTCTTTTATGGTAGAAAAAAAATGTCTTATTAATAAAACTTGTTTAATCAGTTATAGCAAAACATACATTGGCTATTTGTATAAGGAAAGAGATACCTTTGAAAGAGACTTTGAAAAACTAGCTTATTTTTGCTTTATGCATTGAGGAAATTACAGGTAACCAGTTTTCTGAGATTTGAACCTGAATTGAAATCTGAATGTTCAGTCTTATCTGTTTAATCACTAATAAGCTTTTCTTACTAATAAATTACTGCCATATGAAAAAATATTATTTTAGACCATTTTCTTAGAATTGGGTACTGTTCTTGTAATGTTAATTTCCACAAATTTGATCTGGTTGCTATTATTGTTTTACCACATAGTGTAAGTGTGTGTGAATGAATTGATAAAAATTTCTTTTGTTATTGAAATATTTCAAAATCACAAAATCAAAGGCTAAGTTTTAAAATCATCTATTTACTATGATCATTAAATTTTACATACTTTTTTTTTTTTTAAACTAACTAAAAATGGTGAAGGAGATTGTAACAAAGTAATCTTTTGTGTAGCTGCTAACTATAAACCTGGTTAAGATAATGATTCTTGTTGAGAGTAGCTGTTTAAGTATTACTTTTCATAAATCATGCTAAATATGCAACATCATTTAAGATGATAGTGATTTTTACTTAAAGTCTCCAAAAGCTCATATACAGCTGTACGAATTTACTATGATTTTTAGCTGAGTGTTGTCAGACTTACAGGAGTTTATTGACATCACAGCAATGCATGATCCAATTGCATTGCATTCTTACAAAATATCTTCATTAAATATTGTAATAAAGTGATGACTCAATTTTGGAGCATTCAATTCAGATTTCAAGATGTAGGATTGATAGCTGTAACCAAAGTATTTCTTTATTCAAAGGCTCTTTAAATTCAATAATTAATGGATGCATCTAACCTCAGTGCTCTTTTGTTTTGCCTCAAACAATAATTTTATGTGCCTCTATAGTATAAATTTTGAGAACATTCCCATGAGGTGATTCTTTATTAATCCTAGAACAAACAGAAATTTTTTAGCAACCTTGTAATTCTTTTATTGAGCTAGATTGAAAATGTGTGAAATATTAACACCTTTTGTCTCTACACAGGAAATTTTCTTTTGTGGATATCCTCAAATGTATTAGGGAAAGTTGCTGTTGTAGTAATTCAGACTTCTGTATTAATGGAGGAGGGAATAATGTATGAACAGTAATAAATAGGTTAGTAGGTTGTTTAAAGCCCATTGGCTACCATTTAGTGATTAACTATGTAGATTACTGTTATGTAGAACTTAATTAAACAAAATTTAGCTGACCTGATGCTTTCATAGAAAAAGCAGTTTCCTGCATATTTGATCGATTTTTCTGTTTGTTTTAGTCAAATGAAGGGTTTTGTTTATTTCATATATGTATCTGTAATGCCACATTTACTTAAAAGCAAGAACCCTTTTTTTGTGTGTGCGCTGTATTTTTTGTTTTAAAATTTAGTAGGTTCTCATAATCAGGTATGTTAACAAATGAAGTTGCAGAATGAGATGTAGGAGTTAAATTATATTCTACGGAATAAAATTATTATATTATACAGAATAATTATGATGTTTAAGTACTAAGTAAATCACACAGGTAATTAATTACCATATACCTAAAATGCATAAATACTGCCAAATGTAATAGTCATGTTTAGTTCTGCAGTTTCAGTTTAGGGCTGCATTTGCTACACTCTAACTTATATATCATTAGTTTTTCTTAATTTTTCTCTCCTTACCATAATAAAATATTATATTAAATTAAATAGCTTGCCTTTCATTCTAATCAGAACCACTTTTTTTTTAATTAAATATTCATGCCTTTTTTTTTTTTTTTTTTTTTTTTTTTTTTTCTCAAAATACGTCTTAAAATGTTAGGGGATGTCTTTTTTAAAAGTAAATACTAGAAGTTTTTAAAACTTATAAAAAGCATAAAAGTTGCTGAAAAAGATGCATGCTTTTATTTGATAACACACAATTTCATGGAATAGTTAATTTTATAAATTTTTCTTTTTGATGTAGGATGCAAATGTATCAGCTGAATGATGCAAAAGAATATTTGAAAATGCTGAATGAGAAAGATGAACAAATTATTAAACATGTTCATGACACCCAAAAGCTAAAAGAGGAACTGGAAAAACTTCAACAACATGTTGTGTAAGTGTTTATTCTTTATCATCATTATAAAAAGTTGAAATACAACTGTTATAATTGTTCCTGACAGCCAGGTAAATATGACTAGTTGTTTATTAATACCTTAAAATTAAAAAAACAATTGAAAAAACTTTAACAGCATATTTTCCCCTCTATTCCCTATTTCTTTAACCCCTGTATTTTCTTTAATAAAAAAATGAAATAAAATAAGAGTTAAATTGATTATTTTATTTTACAGTTGATTCTCAAATGATAAAATAATTAAAGTAGCAACATACTGCATGGTTGTAAATTTCACATGTAATTTATACCTTGCAAAATACATAACCATTAATAGCCTACTGTTGACTAGAAATCTTGCAAAGAACATGATTAATTATATAGCATATATTTTTTCTCCATGTATTCTTACTGTAAAAAAAGAGGGGAATAAGAATTCTTTAAAGAGAAAACAACAAGGAAAAGAACACACATCCATAGCACTGTACCATGTTCATTGAAAAGTTTAGTCAGTGTTGGAGGGTGAGAAAGAGGTATGTCTGTGCCTTTTCTCGGAAGTACAAATAAGTCGCTAATAATACTTTAAAATTTCAGCCAATTTTCTGTGGGATACTTGTGAAGCTAATTCTAGTAGTAATATGACATACCATCACGAAATTTAGTGCGCATATACTTTACTTATAAATGCTGCTAAATAAATATAACACTAATTTATTTTAAAATGTCTTTAAATAGACTTCTTTCTACCTTTAGCTGCAAAATGTCTGCCGAAAAGACATTTTTAAATCCTGATTGGGCGATTCTAATCTCAATGCTCAGCAGAGAAAACAAGTCCTATTTATTAGTTGTAAAAATAAGGCTTTGGGGATTATGTACTATATATAAAGTCATATACAACTGGTACATTTTTGCGTTTTCAAATAGTACCAAAATTAATTTACCCTCAGCACAGCCAATGCTCACTACGCAATAGCTTGGAATTTTCTTGAAACACACTTGGAAAAGTCAGGAAATTTCATTTTCATGTTAGAGTAGCAACCCTGTCAAAGTATTGTCCATCACTAGCCACTACCTTTTTTCATCTTTCTAGCAGCTTATCCATACAATGTTGGAAGAATGTTTTATCTTTTGAAGCTATCCAGAAAACAACCCAATTTTTGCTATCTTCATGTGATATGAAGTGCTTCTCAGACAGGCCATACATCATCAATCGAAACATGCAGTAATCAGAAGGAGAAATATCTGGTGAATACATTGGGAAGGGGAAAACTTCTCATTCAAGTATCTCCGCATAGGTTTTGACTGGCACCGCAACATGTGGATGAGCGTTATCATGCTAGAGAATAATTATGTAATGTCTGGAGTAGTAGTGGATGCATTTTTATTTGAATGCTCGAATCAGTCTTATCAGTTGTATTCAGTGGAGAGCCCCAGTAATGGTTTATGGTTTCATTCGGTTTGAGCTACTCATAATACATGACACCAAGTAAATCCCACCACATACATAACGTTTTTTACTTCCTTGTATGAAGTAAAAAGGAAGTATTTTAATCGCGAAAATTTTCAGGCATATTTCAACGAAACTCATTTTGACTGCTATCGAATGCAGTTTAATGATGTTTTTGCATGACATCTGTACGTAAAGATAGAATAAAAAAAAAAAAAGAGTCTTTTCCCCCAAAAAATTATAAAACTGGTTTAAAATGAATGCTAAAGAGAAATTTTCATGGCATCTGTACGTGCGTACGTATGTTGCATAGCTAAAAAATGAGTAGCCTCAGAATGTTGAAATTTTATATATAGGACTGCTATAACATATAGATGTGCACATCGTATTTTGGTTGCAATCGTCTGCACCAAGCACATATAAATATATGTACAGTCAAAAGTCTTTAATCCGGACGTCCATAATCCGGAATGATCTATAATCCGGACATCAAAGCTACAAATATTCTGCGCATGCGTAAACGCAAAATGCATTTAAGCATGCGCACAATACATTTACACATGTGCATATGTGTTTAAGTGTGCACATAGTACGTTTACGCATGCGTGTTTAATGTATAACGGACGGTATAAGATAAGCTAAAATTATCTAATTATCTATTTCAGTTAATGTTGCAAATTGCGTTGTTCCTTAATTTTGTAATTGGATCCGGCTTATTATTTTTTTCAGACTGTTAGAGCAATTTTATAAAAGTAAGCTTGAACTTTCGATTATGTCAAAAAGAATTTCCGATTCTAGAGCTGCCAAAGGATCTACAAAGCGAAAGCATATTTCGATGTCCATCAAACAAAAAGTGGAATAGCTGCAAAAAATGGATTAAGGCATATCCCTTGTTTCGCTAACAGTTCCTAAATCTATTTTTAAATTTCACACTGCTCTCGGGGGGGGGGGACGTCACAACACGCAATGAACTGGAAGTTGATCTGTCAGCTCTATCCTTATCTTCAGGGCAGATGTTTTTATTTTATTCGGCTTATAATTCCTTACTAAATGTAGTATTTCATCTCGATGTACTCGTCTTTGATATGATTTAAATCAAATTCCTCCCCATTATAAATATCAGGAATACACATCAAATAGTTTTCTGGTTGCAATTTTCTAATTTTGACTATGCGTAATGTATGCTTTACGCATGCGCACGTTAAAAGAAATCTTTAATAAAGTAAAAAAATAAATATTAAGCTTTTTTGTAAATTTTGATACCCTTTAAATCATAATTGCTCTTTATTTCATAAATTACGGTTTCATATTTTTAATTTTATAATTTCTGCATGCCATCTTACCAGATTTAAACTTGTGGTCTAATCTGGAGAAACTGATAATCCGGAATCGCCGAAGTCTCGATGAGTTAGGATTAAAGACGTTTGACTGTATATATATATCCACTTTGTTAACCGGCTCAGTGATCTCAGTTTCTTTACTCTTATATGTTTGTAAGTTGTACATTTTTTGCTTTACAAATGATTGAATTATGTTGTTCTTATCTTCCAGTTAAGGTTTTTATGCCTTTAGTAAATCTGCATACAATATTTGTGGAGTTATCAACAATTTAAAAGTTGTTTAATTGCAGCTAAGACTAATGAATTTTGTGATGGCGGACATGTTTGTTTGCATTGCAAGCTTGGCAAAATAGTGGATTTGTTGCCAATCTAGAGAAACTAAGCTTTGCAACAACAAAGATAACGCCTTCTTTTATTATTGTGAATTAAAACATGGTTAATCCATTCGGGAATTTATTCAAGGAAATAAGTGTTTTAATTTACTTCATAATTTTTAATACTAAAGTTGGGGCAAAAGTCATGGCAACTATTATTTTCTTGTAGATATGTGAATGGATCACAAAATGTATATGTGTCGTGTGGAAGTTCTACAGGCATAGTGTGTATGCAGAACAACAGATGGCTCTGTGGTAGCGAGGGCTCTGAAATCACTCAGTTGGTGAATGTCTTGCAAGATGGAAGTAACCCGTGTTGAGCAGCTTGTTTACATCAAAATAGCCGTTCTCCGAGGGAGAAATGCAATGGAATGTCACAGTGAATTAGTAGAAGCCCTTGGGAATAATGCCCTACCAGTACAGTAGCATGGTGGGTAGGAAAGTTTTAGCAAGGACATGTGTCAACCAGTGATGAGCAATGTTCGGGACGACTGGTGAGTGTTCAGACTGACTTGGCACGTGCTGTTCATCGAGCACTTCATGTTTGAAGACAGATGATGGACATTACTGGAGTTAGAGAAGGCAAGTGGCACCGAGAAACGTACTATCCACAGGATATTGCATAATGAGCTACAGCTATGCAAAATCCCTTCATGGTGTAAACAAAATATGTGTAAATCTCTAATAAACCAGACTGGATCGCAGTTAAAGTAATAAACAGAGGAGCGTTCTTCCACACAACATTTATTCACGAACACCAAAGACGAACTGATACATATACATAATTGACATCACAGTTTCTTTTTACAAACAAGCACTACCGCCATCTATTGGCAATCTAAAGATATATAATCCTAAACTTAACACTTCCCCCCCCCATGCATCCGTAAACGGATGCATCAATTTTATTGAACTTCAAGATTATAAAGTCTTTCAATTGGTCTTCTAACAACACCCTTATCTAACTGAATCTCACAAGATCTAATTCTATCATCTCTTCCATGAAATAATTCCTTAATCCTACCTATCTTCCAGTTACAGCGTTTCACATTATCTTCTCATACAAGTACAACATCATTAATTTTAAACACGGGAGAATTCTTTGGAGGTTTTGAAAACATGACTGATCCTAATTCTAACAAATATTCTTTATAAAACCTTTTCAAAAAATGCTGTAATGTTAATTGCCTATGCTTCCATCTTTTAATCAACTGAGATCTTGTAGATTCTAGTTTAGATTCAGGTGATGGTAAAACAGTTAATCTAGATCCAGTTATAAAATGAGATGGTGAAAGAGGATCAGGTTCATTTGGTTCATTGTATACATAAGTTATAGGTCTAGAATTAATAACAGCTTCAACTTCAACTAAGACATTATACAGTTCTTCATAATATAAAGAAGCTTTACCTAAGATATGTTTTAAACAAGTTTTTACAGATCTTACCAAACGTTTCCAGAATCCACCCCACCAAGGAGCACCTTCTACAATAAATTTCCATTCAAACCCATTTTTACCAAGGAAATTTAGAACCTTTTCTTCTTTACATAATTTATACAAATATTTTAATTCACGATCAGCAGTCTTAAAGGTTTTAGCATTATCAGAATATATAACTCTACAAATACCTCTACGTGCAAAAAATCTACGTAAGGCTTGAATGAAACACTCTGCATTTAAATTTGATAACAATTCTAAATGGACTCCTCGAGTCACTTTACAGGTAAACAATGAAATATACACTTTTGTACCATCCTTTAAATACAAAGGGCCAGCGAAATCTATGCCACTTACCTCAAATGGTTGAGCTTTCTCCGGCCAGCGAAATCTATGCCACTTACCT